TGTTTCCCTAAGTCTTATTTAAGATGTCTGGAAACCATTTCCCCAGAGAAGGCACATTCTGTTCACAGAAGGCAGCTTAATCTCTCAAACACTGGTTGGTCATAGACACCAGATCTCTCTAGCTGGGGAAGCAAATACCCTTCAAACACATCTTTGGTTTTTCTCCAGGGCAATTTCACAGCTGCATCAGATGCAACTGTGAAACCTCATCCTTCCCCAACCCTTTTCTTTTTGCCTATGTTACGGGCTTCCAGCATGGGTTTCTCTGGGGCTCATGGTACTCAGTATCTGGAGGGAGGGGGCGAGGATGGGGAAACCCCCAATCAGCACCTTGCAGTGCTGTATCATATCTTGATAAAATTTAAAGAAATCCGGTGATTTGCTTTTTAGCCCTACCACCGCTGGATGCAGTGCAATGTCTGGTGGGGGTCGGTCTCTTCTCCCAAGTAACAAGCGATAGGACGAGAGGAAATGGCCTCAAGTTGCACCAGGGGAGGTTTAGATTGGATGTGAGGAAAAATGTCTTTACTGAAAGAGTGGTGAAACATTGGAACAGGCTGCCCAGGGAAGTGGTTGAGTCCCCATCCCTGGAAGCATTTAAAAGACGTGTAGATGAGGCGCTTAGGGACATGGTTTAGTGGGCATGGTGGTGTTGGGTCGATGGTTGGGCTCGATGATCTTAGAGGTCTTTTCCAACCTCAATGATTCTATGATTCTATGTCTAATGGACATGCCAACTGCTGTGGAGTCACTCACTTTAACTTGAAGAGCCTGTTCCTTCTTTCCTGAAGGAATCAAACTCTTTAGGTATAAAAATGATGAGTAGCTCTCAGAAGGATCCTTCACAGATGCAGAAGTTTAAAACAAAGGGTCTCTTGATAATGGAGACAAAAATGTGTTGCAAAGGAAACCAAACTACATTTACATGACTATGCAGTGCAGTTCACTGCTGACGTTACACATTCAAAGAGTACTACAAGGAAATCCTATTTCAATTTACAAGGTGACTCTTTTATCCTATGTTCTTTGGGCAGTATGTTTATGCTTTCCTCTTTGGTCCACTTGAAAACATCTGGAGAGGACACACTGCCTTTAAACCTGTGTTAGCTCTGCCATGAGTCAGACTCACTAGGAGTCTGCTCTGGTGTGAGATCACTGCAGCTGTGTCCTGGACGTTCAGCTTTATATGCATAGACATGCCAGAAATAGAGAGTTTTGAGAGGGCTGAATCTAAGGAGCAACAAAAGTACTGCTCCTGATAAGATTTCAGAGGCTTTGTCATGAACTATCTTAATAAAGTATTAAAAAAAAGAAAAAAAAAAACCCACCCAGAGCTGATTGTTTGTCCCAATGTGAGACACCTACATAGCACTGCACTTGCACGCAAAAGAAAGAAAAATGTTCCAGATATAGATCTAAATCTAGCTTGAGGTCTAGATTCAGCTTGAGAAACAGAGCTAGCCTGAGAATTTCAAAGTGCCCACAGCACCTGTATTCCTGCCTACCCTATGGGAAATCAGGGAGCCTAACCTGTTGAACAGACATGATGGTCTCTATCTCATAGAAGGTTTCAAGAAACCAAAAAAAAAGGGGGGGGGGAAGAATAGCTCTTGGAGTTTGTGAAGTATTTTCCTGAGGAAGTATTTTTTAATAGGATGACACTGACACTTTACAAGAAAATAAAGATTGTTCCTCCTGCAACAGGGGAACCACTTGTACTCCATAATTCACCACCTTTTAAATTGTGCTGGTGTAACTGTTTTGGGGACCGTGAGAAGGACTAGCAAGGAGAAGCTGGGAACTTCATAAGCCAGGGAAAATTTAATAAAATATGTAATTACATGTTACATTTGTTATAGAAGCCCTGTAGCTGAACAAGTACTAAATTATTATAAATAAGTACCTTTTCATATCCAGAGAACTAGAGGTTCGTTGTGTTTAAGATGTCAAAAGAACATTATTACTCATAGTTACTGTATTCCTTACAGAGACTGGATCCCTCTTGCTTCCTGTATAAATAGCCAAATATATAAATACCAAGGCTATAAAGAGCTAAATAATCAAGTTTCTTTGACCCCCTTTCCACATCTTGATCTGCTTATCTAGCATTAGCAAATACTATATCATCTCTCTGTGTGTGTAGAGTAAGTGATTTCTGCCCTGAAAAGATTCAAATCCACTGGTTACTGGAGGAGGATATAATCAAGGATAACGTCAGACAAGAGCTACTGGACCACTCAGGCAACTGCTTCTACCTACAACCTGTGCTTCAGGTAACACTTACGGCTTTCATGTTTACCAAAAAAAATTGCTTTCAAAGTAATGTACAAAGCCTGGAGAAACCCGTCACAAAAGAGGTATTTCTAAGGCTCCCAGGTATGTCTAATACATCTATGGGTCCTTTCACTTTAAGGGCAGTACAGAGCACTATTTGATGTAACTTGAGGGGGAAAATAATTTTGTTTCAGGTATACAGAGTCATTTGGGACAGGAAGGTGTAACTTACGAGTCACTGTGCAAGCGTGATTCAGCCCCAGGAAACCCTGGCTGTAACTTTCTATCGAGTAAGTCCACGCAGTGCTCCAGTAGATATATTCACTTGGCATGTTATTTTTGCCACTGAAAGTATCTACAAAAGTTCCAACAAACTGGTATAAACAAAGGTTGAATTTAACTTGGATTTTTGCTTTCCTTGAATTGTTTTATTTCAAATGAGTGAAGAACGATATATTCACCACTATGAAATTTGCTAAAAGTAAAGTCACTGGTAAAAAAATAAAAGCCAAAAATTGAGGTTCTGTTATCTTTAATCCAGCCATTCCACCACCAGCTTGGTTTCCAGGAGATATCACATCTGACAGGAGCAATTTCACTTTCCCTCTCCCCTCTCAACCAGAAGATGTAATTTCATATTTACCCTGCTGTAAAATTCTAGTGATGAGAAAGCAATATAAATTTTAGATTTCATACTTGAGGAGTGTTAGCATCAAACCCTTGTCTGGGGTTCATTTCTTAACCAGTTTGTCCTCAAACTATAGATCTTCTCTTATTTTGTAGCAAGTAATGGAATATTTTAGTTGGTGGAAGTGATGGTGAATGGACTGAAAACAGCCTGCTCAAGACAAGTGCTTAACTGCTATCATGTTGATAGGACTCATGCTTTGGTCTTATTCCTGCTGCCAGAAAAAAACCCACACCCTTTAACAGAGAGCGAAATTTCTCTCTTTTGATACATGCAGTATGACACACTATGCATGTACATATGTAAGTGCAGTGTCTTACTGAGTCCAGGTACAGAGCACTCAGAGAACAGCAGGCTTATATATTTTTTCTGTTGCAATTCTTTCTTCTGTAATAAATCACTCTTGGCTTAGTGTCCCAGGAGTATTTTACTGCAGCAGCTTTTTAATGGAAGACTTCCTCTCCTGCTTTAGCAAAGTCTCCTGTTGTCTCCGAGATCAGAGAAATTCCTACACAAACCACAGTCAGTAAGACTATCTGTCTTGAACTTTCCATATCAAATTTTGTACCTGACAACATCAAGTGTTGTATGTATGTATCAGAGCCACAAAGACTGGACAGAGTTTCCTGAAGCCAACCAAGTCATAAAAACTAATATTGGAGAAAATGGATTATATTTTTGTATGAGCAAACTACAGTTCTCTCCAAAGGCATCTGACAATATTAAAATATTAAGATGTGAGGTTTTTCACCCAGGAACTCAACACTGTGTAGAACAAGCCTTTCAACTCGAGCTTGCAGGTTTTATTATTGTTTGTTATCTCTTAGAAGTTAGTTTAAATTTGGATACTAGTTTGCAAATACTCAAGCTTCTTTTAGTGTGGCTGGATAATGGAATAAGACACCCCACAAAGTTATTAGAGGTATTGGAGTCTTACCTAAAGGAGATTCTATCTTTAAGGAATTATTTCTATATGTCAGAATAATGTGGAAATTATCGAATTTTCCATGCCACAGTTATGCACTGAATGAGCTACACCATAAACTTTAAAAGTGAACTAACAGAACTTTCCCCCTATAACTCACTAAGGATCAAATCAAACCTCTCAACTAATGGTGATCAGTAATTTTTGTTATTTAAACTGTTTCAGAAAAATGAATGAAATATGAGTGCCAGCACACCGTTTTAGTCAGGACTTCTCTGAACTGCATCCAGATTTTTTTAAGTCAATAAGAAGACATCTGTTGAATTTAGCACACTTTGGAGTAGTTTCTCTGAGAGCCAATGTGAAAACCAGTGATGACTGAATATTGAGTAATGAGAACATACTACTAAAAATTTTGTGGACTGGTGTAAATTTGGCAATGCTTTTTGATACAAGATTGTGAATTTTTCTATGGACACATTAACTTCCTTTATGATAGGTCAGTATAAGATTATTACTATTGCAAATAATTGTATTTCTTCCTACTTTGTAGGAGAACCTAACAGGGCTGCTAATAAACTGTCTCTGGCTGCAAATCAGAGCCACACAGAACCTTTGAAGTATTAGTTTTAAAACAGAACAAAACTATAAAGGCCATTCTGATAATATTCCTGAGCATGATTCTCGCCTCACCAGGCAAACATTACTGGAAGATATGGCAAGTGACTGGATGGCTTATGCAGCAGCTGCATGCCCCTATATCTCCTACAGGACTCTAGGTTTGGGATCAGCAATGTGCGTGTAGAAGGGGAAGAAATAGGCAGGATGTATGTTGTCCACCACCACCAAAGAAGTTGTCCCCAAGTTAAAACTAGTAGTTGTTAAACAAAGACCTTTTTTTTTTTTTGATATGGAGGTTACCTGAAGGAGGCAGTAAGGGATCTCTGGCAGTCCAGACAGAGGTTCACAGAGATACAGAGAAGTTTTTGAACACACAACAGTTTCACGTTGGGTCTGCTCAAGGCCAAGCCCAAACAAGAGGAATAAGCAGGCAGGGAGTCTTACATTTATACTAGTCTCTTCAGGTAGTTATTTAGTGTTACGGGACATCAGTGAAATGTGAAAATTACAGTTTTAATAGTAGAACACAAACCACTCAGCCAACACGACACATTTATCGAGCTTTATCCTCTTCACTCTGAAAAAAATAAAATCAAAGATTCTGGTCCATCTAGCCAAGCAGCATTTACCACTTGGAAGATAAAATGCATTACTGCACATCCAAAGGCTAGCGTGGATGTGACACTTCAGTGCTGTGTATCTGGAAGGAACAGAAATGGGGTGAGTTTAGTTACCTGGTTTAAGGGACTATTCCCAACTGAGGAATAAATAGAAAATAAGGACTATGAGGATGGATCTGGTTTCATCTCCTGTGTAACTTGCAAAACAAAAGCAGAGCGAAGAATGTAGGATCAGATGTGAGGTTTCTACTGAAGATGAAACTTTTGAGGAAACCTACATTTTAAAACTTGATTGAGCTCCACTTAACAAAGGAAACAGACTCTCTTCAGTGAAGACAGGTCTGCACATAACAGTAGAAACACTTGTGTACCATTGAAATATCTTCAATGGTAGTACTGTAATTTAAGAGTTCTGACTGCAGGTCACAGGGCTATGGCATGCTGCGGAACTTTTTATTTTATTTTTTTTCTTTAAACAGATGCTGTTCAAGAACACAACGGAAGTGACATACTTTTCAGGCTATGTACAGTAGTGAACAAAATAAGTAGGGGAAAAAAAAAATCAACTAAAGGAATAACAACGTTGCCACAATTAAAAAAAGGAAACACGAAAGAACAACCTTTCAAACTGAATGATCAAGTATCACTATCAAACGCATCCATTTAGTAAAGCAGGTAGATTCTAAGCGTAAAGATTTCAGCTATGGAAGTCCAGACAACACTTGATAGAAGAAAATCTGTGAGAAAATAATGGCTACTTCTTACAGAGACATTTCTAAAGATAGAGACTGCCGTTGGAAAAAATATCGGTTTACTGCCTATAATTCTAGATAAACTCTCAGCAAGCATGAGCTTTCTCCATGGTTGGTGAAGCCAGCCATTAGTTCTTTCAAATCAAGCCACCCTCATGTATTCAGTGATCAGCACACCCACAGAGGGCTAGTCATCTTCTAAAACATCACTGCGGATGGCTGCATAGGGTAGCTTCTTTACCTCAGGGTCAAAATTTACCATCATTTTACATAAGGAAGCTGCTTTCTGGGCAGTCTGCTCCAACAAAATCCATACATTTTGCAAGAACACTCCAATCTTCCTGCTCATCTCACTGCTCTTCTTCTCCACCCATCCCACAAAAGAACCATTATCTTGCTAACTTTTTTTCTCAAGTTTTAAGCTAAAGTAAACACTGGAAAAATGCATCTGGGGCAGAGGCAGAGTGTGGAAAATACTGCTCCCATTACTTGTATGCACTCACCAGGAGACAGCGAAAATTTAGAATCATAGAATTATTTAGGTTGAAAAAGTTCTTTAAGATCATCGAGTCCAACCGTAAATCTAACACTGCCAAGTCCACCACTAAACCATGTCCCTAAGCACCACATCTACATGTTTTTTAAACACCTCCAGGGATGGTGACTCAACCACTTCCCTGGGCAGCCTCTAACACTGCCAAGTCCACCACTAAACCATGTCCCTAAGCACCACATCTACATGTTTTTTAAACACCTCCAGGGATGGTGACTCAACCACTTTCCTGGGCAGCCTGTTCCAGTGCTTGACAACCCTTTCGGTGAAGAAATTTTTCCTAATATCCAATCTAAACCTCCCCTGGTGCAACTTGAGGCCATTTCCTCTCGTCCTATCACTTGTTACTTGGGAGAAGAGACTGACACCCACCTCGCTACAACCTCCTTTCAGGTACTTGACAAACACGGCAAGCTGGCCTCAAACCACAACATAAATATTCAAGACATTCAGATGCCTCAGCATATAGGATTACACAGTATGCACAAGGGCCATATTCTCTCATGCTAGAGAAAAAGGAAATAAAACAAGAATTTTACTCACAAGGCACAGGAAGAAGTTCCCAGGAGATGCTGAAGCAGAAGGAGACTTTTAACATAAAACATGTGGAACAGCATCACTGTTGCAGCAAAGGGACCATCAGGGACTATTTGGATCAGCTGCCCACCCCATTAACCTAACAGTGCCCAACCCTAAGAGGGAAATCCTGGTGCTGATGAACTACCTGGCAAGTTCTCTTGGATTTAAAGGCTCAGGATTTAACATGGGGGCCTGATTTGAAGCTCACTGAAGTCAAGGGCTCCTGTTGCTGGCATTGATGCTCACTGTCAATCTCTGTGCCCCAGTTCTGCTCAGGAATAACTATTATGACTATAACAACAATGCTATTTATATACTGTGCCTATCCTCTCTTGGTCAGAGAAAACATAAATGCAAAACAATAAGCAGGTATTTGCCACTTAAAATAGCAAATGAACAAGGAACAGCCAGGGAAGGAAAAGGGTGGCTCCCCCCTCCTGCCATAGCATGTGGCAGCCCTACTCCCAGCTCAGGGCCTCACCACCCTCCTGGCAGCAGGGGCAGAGGGATGGGATGCTCAATGCCTCCTGTCAGGGCAGGCCCCAGCTCCTGTGAGGGAAGGAAAGAGGAGACGTTCCTCTGCAGGGCCACCATCACAATACCTCTGGGCCCCTTCCAGTTCAGATGGGATTGATTATTTAAGGCTGCTCAGATTTGCAGTAAGGGAGCTGGTTAGAAAACCTCTCATAGAGTTGCCATCTGCATTTAAACTCAATAAGTGAGTCAGGCACAAAGGTTGACAGGGCAAGTGGTGAAGAGAGGCTGCAGGTTTTGATTTTTGAAAATCACTTTTAAACAGTCATTCCCCTGTGATGGTTCTTTAAAGTCACACTATGTATTAAAATAGGGGCGTAAGCCAGAAAAACATGCAGCATACCGTCCTCTGTAGGCACCCAACAGTGCTAAGAGCAGGATGGAGGCAGCGGTATCTGCAGCCTCTCAAGAATGTCTTCTGCTCTTTTAATAGTTCTCCTTGGGGGGATGTGGAGGTTTGTATCACGTATCTTTCTCCTGTTGCTGAATCAAAAATAGTACGCTGAGTCATTTGTTAGAGGCAGTTAGACAGTCACCAGCCATGCTGAGCACGCATCCCACCACCCACTCTGATCCAGCTTACCAAAGGCCTCCTTCACACAAGGGTTTTCTCACCTCAAACAGCAGCTTTGCTTGAGTAGGGTCTGCAGTGCTGATTAAATCCCTCTTTCTGCTGCAGCACATGCTTTCAGCAGGTTGGCAGATTATGTCCTTTGATCCAAAAATCCACAGAAATGAGTGGGAATTTTTCTACTGCCTTTCAGGAACCTTGGGTGAGGGCTGTTGGGGTTGAGATGTCCACCTTGGAATGGGGCAGCTGGCCCTGGATGAATGCAGGGCCACACAGGAACATGCACTGCAAAGAGCATTGACCCTGCCCATTTTTAGTGGCAACACCAGTATGACTTTGAACATGGGGAGAGAGAAAGGTGTAACCAGGGAGCCTAAAATGCAGTGAGTTTGAACCTTCTTCTTTTCTCCTTCAACCCTAACCTGAAGAGCTAAACCACTTTCCCTTCCACAGGGACCTGCAAAATGAACAACAGAAAACTAAACTGTGGTAATTTATTAATATCCAGTTCCTAGGAATAGATATTTCCATGCTTTGTACAAGGAATCACTGTGAAAGTTGCAAGCTTGGCAATTTCACAGAGGTTTTTGGGTTTCTAATATCTATTTTATTTTTGCACTTTATTTCCCAAAGCACTCTTGTGCTTTATCCCAAATCAAAAGAGTCTGTGCTAGCAGACCTACAATAATAGCAGACCTTTAGGGGTGACCTATGGACAAGGAGTGGAAGAGGAAGGAAAACATGAAGAAATGAATTCAGTTTTCAAAGAACTATTAATTATTCATTAGATTGATATTATTAACTATTAATAAATAACTAACCGCAAGAATCGGTTGCCACAAAGCCCTCCTAACACTGCTGCTTCCAACAGGGCTCTGTTGTGACTTGTACCTTGCTCAACACACAGCAATATTTACCCACTGGATCGAGCAATGCTGATCATGCCCAGCCTGCAGTCTCGCCTTTCAGGGCACACTGAATTTTGACATTGACCCCATTGCTAATCTACGCTAGCATGTAAATCTTGGCCTTGTTAAAGACTTTTATACTAGCCTCTAATATCTGCTTTTTAGGTCTCGGATCTCTCATCTCAGCATCATCACACCTTTGCTGGTGTGAACGGCTTCAAAAGAAAATAGTTTATTACTTCTTGGCATCGTCTTCCCACTGTGTGACTTGTGGATTTTAAATGTATTTATTTTGTGTCCCTGACCCTCTTTTCCCTTATATGCAGCCTCTTGAGTTCACTTCTGGTTTGTATCTATTTTACAGGGAGATTTTCCTGTTGAAGTACACTGCTATAATACTATACTTATCATGTGCCTTGGAGGTAAAGAGACCAAGTCAGACCTTGTTATACTCTAATTTTGTATACGTATGTCACTTGATTTCATTAGGAAACACAACATGAAACTGATACACCCAGCGGCTATGTTCTCACCAGCAGCCACTACAAGTATTTTAAAACTATGGCATATAATGTGTTCCCCAGTCTCTGTTTCTGATTAATAAGCTCTGTGATCCTTCTGTCCATCCAAACAGCGTAACAAACTCCAATTTGAATGCACTAAACAGCGTGAATCATGAGCATAAACTGATAATGGTCTCCAGACTCTGAAGCACATGAAAGGCAGTTCCACAGTTGGTTCCATACCCCAAATTCAGCAATGGGTCACTACAAAACCTACAGCTTCCCACTCTTGTGTCCATGTCCTCCCCTTGGTCAGGGCAAGCCCCGAGCATGTAGCCCCCAGCTTCCCTCACACTGGTTTCTGTGCAGAGGAAATGTGGAGAGGTAGCAGCCGTGGGAGCCACAGCACGCTCCCCCCAGCTGCTCAGCAGGACCCCAACTGCGATACCACCTACCAAAAAGCAGACGTAGGCTGAGAGAGAAAGTTCGAAAGCCCACTCACTTTGGACTTCAACTATGGAAAACACAGCGTTTGTTCATTGCTAAGAATGAGGACTGTTCTACGTCAAATGATAGCACTGATGCCTTCTTTGGAACCTTCCTACAGAGAATGGGGGCGGTCGGCATGAGTACAACTTTAAGAACAATTTCAGATATTTGTGTTCCCAAATACTTTGTAAATGACAAAATGAAAGGATCCTCACAAAGAAGTAATATCCCTAGTACAAAATAAATACACTTATTCTTCCTTGCTCTGCCCCTGAAATGCTTCTGAATATTTTAAATGGTGAAAGAACAGAAGAATTTAAAATTACAAGAATCCTGAGATTCAAAATCACCAACACTTCAATTGAAATAATTCACTATGGTGATTTTTAATAGTACAAATCCTGCCTTCCTCATAATATTATGATGCCTATTTATTGCAAGACTTCAGAAAATTAGGCAGATTCTTGTAGAAGAAGTGACATAAAAAGTGGTCCTGAAAGCAGCCCAGCGAATGCAAGCTGTTTCTTCCCATTTTCCCCTCCCACCTCACAGTGAACAAAGAGAATTTTCTACCTCTCTGTAGCACGGATTTCCCTGAGGGAAAAAGAGGCTTGCATCAGTTCCTGAAAATAGTTGCATGGTAGTGCTACTGAAATTGCTTCACATTTAGGTCAAATCTTGACAAGAGCTTTAAAATGCTACCATAGCTGAAGAGGTTTTATGTGAGAACCTTGAGGTGTTCAATCTTAGACATTGAAATAACGCACTAAGGAGGCTAAGGAGAAGCCAACGATTTCAAGTCACTGGAAAGCTAACTCTAATGTAAGAATAGAGTAGTATTGTGACAGGTGATAAAGAACAATGAACTGTCAAAGGAACAAAGGTGTCTAGGAGATGCAAATAGCTCTGCTATAAGTGCCCCTCCAATGGGTGATGGAAGAGAGGCAGTAAAAGGGAAAGCTGGGACATAATGAGAAACCAGACTCAGTCTTACAGAAGAAATTTAATCAGCAACGGCATTTAATTATTCCCTATTTTAAAAAATAGGACTTTTAATGATTACAAATATAAAATATGCCTTTCCAGATTTTCTCTGCTGACTACTTGTTAATGCTAGTTTACTGTCTTTTCATTGTGAAACACATAGCACATTTTTAGAGCTGTTCACAGAGTAGTATTGGTGTATTGGGAATTTGGAAACTGAACAGGCATTTATTCTCTTAACTGGCAATCTGATAATGCTGATAAAACTGAAATACCTAACTATTGAAAATATAACTACTATTTTATCATTTTAAAGCAACCTTTGATTTTAGCCAAACATTATTTCATTTTATTATAGATGCCTGAAAATATTCCATAGTCAATATGGAAGTTTTGTCACACTTTTGAATGAGTTTTTCATATTGTTACACTGACAAGGCATCAAAAATTTGCCATATTATTACCAAAACAAACCATTTCAGGTGTCTGTCGTGAACTACATGACACACAAGAACTTGATACTAGAAGCCCTTTGAATAATTAAGTTTGAAAGTAACTTGGTGCCTCTCTGCACAGCTTGTGTAACCAGGTGTTGGATCAGTTCTGTAATGCTTATTTAGGTTTTATTTGGACAACATTATCTTTTTTCACTTGAGTGGCAGTTTGCCCAGTTAATAGCACAGTGTAGTTAATACTGCTGCTATCTCCTAATAACCCTGCACAGAAATAAATATTGCTGCTCTTACTAATATCCCCAGATAGAGGATTTGCCAGAGTGTGCTAAGGGGAATTGCTCCTATTGTTTGTCACTGTGGAACTGAGGGGGTGAACATGGCTCCTTCGTGTTTGCTGGTAAATGCCAGATCTTGAATTCAGCTAAAAACCAAGGCAGGCACCGGCTGTGTAGGGAGGTCAGGATGTAAATGGAAAGGGAATCGTTTCTACAGCAGGAGTATGTTTTGTGACACAGCATCCCAGAAGTGGACCTTTCATCAGAGTGAAAGGTTTTGCCTACTGCATGCAGATATAATTTCAGCATTCAGCATTGCCCTTTCATTTAAAATACATAATTCTATTTATATTCCCTGATTCAGTCTGACCTAAGGGAGAGATTAATTTTTTTACTGGGTATCCTATTGCCTGTGTGTGTGTGTGTGTAATGTTGCTTCTCTTCATTTAGACAACTAGAATACAGAATTTTTCCTATTTATAATTAATTTCAGTTGTATACTATCTGCTACTCTTTTTAAAGGCAAAGCATTGCTTACTATCAGAAATGTACAGTCGAAAAAGGTATTTCTGAATGTTTTATTTTGGAAGTGTAAAGGGTTTTAAAATAAACAAAAGTAAATATTCAAATACATTTCATATTGCATGTGGTAGGAGTGGCTCCATACAATACAATATGGATGAAGCAAATCTGGCAGTTAATTTCTTTGAAACATAGAGTATAATACATAGACACTTCCAGATCTGGTCTTGTGTCATACATAACATTGCCTGACCTTTTTGTTATAATAAATCCAGCATTTCTTTGAAACATAGAGTATAATACATAGACACTTCCAGATCTGGTCTTGTGTCATACATAACATTGCCTGACCTTTTTGTTATAATTTAAATCCAGCCTACTTTATTAATTATTAATATTTTATTTTGCTATATTGATTGTTCAAGTTAGAAAAAAACCCAGTTAAAAACTACTGACTTTAGAACACTGCAAGACCCTAAGTACTGCAATCTCTTAAGAGAAATAATTTATTTTTTGAGAAAATATGTCATTACCTGCAGATTAATCAATGCAAAATGAACGTGCAATTAAATTTAAAGCTGCAGACCATGATTTTCCTACTCCCAGTGCTGCTTGAAATCTCTCACACCTTTAAAAAAATATAATTAGCTTTAGATTTATCCCACAATAAATAACACCAGAACATACCTTGTGCTACCAACCTGAATTTAAAAAAAAGTAAGAGGCCACCTCAGTGTTTTGAGTTTATGAGATCTTTCAGACACAAAGCCCTAACAGAGTTTCCCAGTCAAAAGGCATCAGGAAGGCTCATCGCTTACGGTAAACTTGGGCTTTAGCTTGACAGACCTCTTCCTTATTGTGCCTTTAGGGGACAACGGCATAGTGTCCATAATGCTCTTGTCCTCCTCCAGCTGCCTAGCAGTGCACGAAGGGGTGGGCACTTTCACTGTGTTGCCAAATTTAGAGTAGTCCACGGAGTATCGCCCATCTTCCTCTGCCACGATGGGCACAAACCTTTGGCCCCAGAGGATTTCATCTGCCAGATAGGAGGTTCTGGCTTGAGTGGTGATGCCAGTGGTCTCCACCACCCCTTCCAAGATGACAATGATCTCCAGGTCCTCATGGTGGTGAAGGTTCACAGGGGAAATGTCATAGAGGGGGCTATTCTTGTCTATCACATGGTAGATGATAAGTGGGGAGACGAGGAAGATGCTGTTGCCCCCTACGGGGTTCTCCATCTGGATGTCAATCTGGTTGAGGGGCACCACCTCCCCCTCCAGGCTGGCAGTCTTCTTCACCACCTGCATGCGGATGGTGGCACTGATGATCATGCTCTTCCGGAGGTCACCCACCCGCAGCATGAAGCAGAGCTTGCCCTCGCGCAGGGCGATGACCGCGTGCTTGCTGAAGATGAGGGTCTCGGCCCGGCGGTGAGCCTGTGAGGTCTTCATGAAGATGCAGCCCAGCATGATGGCATTGATCACCAGCCCCACAATGTTCTGCACGATCAGCACCAGGATGGCGGCCGGGCACTCCTCTGTGACCATGCGTCCCCCAAAGCCAATCGTCACCTGCACTTCGATGGAGAAGAGGAAGGCGGAGGTGAAGGAGTGGATGCTGGTCACACAGGGCACAAAGCCGGCCGGGGTCCCTGCCTCTCTGGGGTCACGCTGCAGCCGGGTGCTGTGGTCCAGGTCTCCGTGGGCAAAGGCGATGAGCCACCAGACCATGCCAAAGAGCAGCCAGCTGCAGAGGAAGGACATGGTAAAGATGAGCAGCGTGTGGGGCCACTTGAGGTCCACCAGGGTGGTGAAGACGTCCTGGAGGAAGCGTCCCTGCTCCCGGATGTTTTTATGGGCCACGTTGCAGGCACCGTTCTTGCCCACGAAACGCGCCCGCCGCTCCCGGGCGCGGTATCGGACATGATCCGGCACATCCTCCGCCAGCCGGGTCAGCACGTACTCCTCGGGGATGATCCCCTTCCTCGACAGCATGGCTCCCCGCCGCCGCCG